AAAAAATTCTTACTACTAAAATGGGAAAAAATGGGTAAAAATTGACAAAAAATTACATAATAGGGGCCCATTCTGTGCAAATATTAAGGTATCCGATTACGTTCAGAACCGTGATTTTAAAAAAGCGCATAAATGGATAATTTTCATATTTAGTGTCAGTTAGATTAGAATACATGTATAAAATTATTTTAAGTACATTTTGACAAAAAAGAAATTATTTAAATACAATATTTTGGTAAAAAATTAACTTAGAATAACCTTCTTTCAAAATGTTCTCCTTTCATAAAAAATGCTTCTAAAATAATAATATTTTGTGTGTGTGTGTGCTTATATAAAGTAAAGACTTCTCCAGAGAGTCTGAACTAGGATTTTTGAAAAATTCATATTATTTTCAGAGTTACCACCAATTGAAATAATTATTTGCGTTTTTTTCTTATAATTTCTTCCCTCTGATGTTGTAAAATAAGAATAAAGTCACTTCTAAGTTATATATTTCAAAAATTCTAGTTGAGCCTCTGTACAGAGGTCTAAACTATATACAGGCAAAATATTATTATAATAGAAGCATTTTTCGCAAAAGGAGAATATTTTGAACATAGGTCATTCTAGGTTCATTTTTTGTCAAAATATTGTACTTAAATACTTTTTTATTGTAATAATATTCTTAAAACAACTTTTTATATATTTTCTGATCTAAGTGACACTAAATACCATAAATATTATCCATTTATACGCTTTTGCAAAATCACGGTTCCGAACGAAGTCGGATACCTTAAATGAACAAATTCTCAATTTTTCAATTTTGATGGATTATTTTGATTTCCTTTTTGAAATGACCTTCAGGATAAGAAATATTTTAATTTTTACAAAAACTAGAGCAATTTATCTTAGTTATTATTTGAAATTGCTTTTCAAAACAGTGATTATACTCACATAAGGGTCGGTAGTTTTTTTTAATAAATTAGCGATTGATAAATCTGAAGGTTAAAACACTTCTAGTGTTATACAGAACATTCACAAAAATATTTAGCAAATTATTTTAAAATATTTGTAAGCAATCTCTGTCCCCGTTTGAGCTTTTCGAAAGAAAAACGCATTTCGAGTAAAATGCATTTTAATGTTTGACATCTTATATGAAGTTATGGCATCTGGTTTTACTAAAACGCTTATTGTTTCTGTTCTAGTGAATGGAAAATAAAACACTTGGTATTTTTATAAAGCTAATAAGATGGTACATAAAATAAAATTATAAGAAAAAATTGTCAATTTTTTAAAAAAAAAATCATGATTTTAGGGTAGTTGGATACCTTAAATTTAGTAAATAAATTTGTTAAATAGGTTAATTCTGGTTTCAATTTGATTAAATTTCCTCTTAAAATTTAATCAAATGGTTTAATGGGAGCAACTATCGCAGACCCCCGTTTACACCTCATGAACCCCCAAATCATTTTTTTGATGACGTGGACCCTTTGAAGGTCATTATAGACCCCTGGGGGTTGATATAAGCCCCTTCGAGAATCACTGGTCCAACACATCACTCCAGTGCCCACCTACATGAAGAGAATTCACATGCACAAAGAACTCAAAATTCCAACCATCACTTCAAGAATTAAAAAATTAGCCACCACGTTCCACAATCAAATTGCCACCCACTCCAACAGCCTCATCAACATCCAGTCATTAGCAGACATTCAAGGAATCCACAGCATGCCCATTCAAACAACCCGCCTAAGAAGAAGATTCTGATCAACACTCCCTCTCCATCCCGACGAAAAGGCAAGCTCGCATCACAAACCGAAGTTCATTCACCTGCCCCCGGCTCCAAGGTAGAAAACTAAAACCGTTCACGAAAACGTTTTGAAGATTCCCTCTGTTGAAACGAAAAGTAGTTTCTTCCTCCCTCCAGTGACGTCACTCCGGTACGCCACGCCCTCCCTCCCTCCACTCGGGGGATGCATCACATCCACGGCTTCCCTGTCACTAGGGAACCGCCTTCTTCGTAAGCTACTTTATGTTGAGGGATGGAAATAAAAAAAAAAAACGTTGACAGAAACATCGAGACGTAATTTGTATGCTAAAAATTAAAAATCTTTTGATCTATGGACACCGGTATAGCTGTTTCTGAATGGGCCTTCCATCAAAATTCCTTGGAGCCCTTTTTTAGAAAATGAATAAAAATGATTACATTGATAAAACATTCTTGAAAGTTACAAAATACGTATACATACGCTTATTAGATATACACCATATAGACAAATGTGTGATTAAAAATATTACTAAAGAATTAATCTAGTTGTTCTATAGGTAGTACTTTTCACAATTTTTTCGGCACAAATGGATTTATATTAACATCCGTAGCAGAAAAGGATTTCAGTCAGTAGCGCACACAGGAATTCTTCAAGGGGGGCATCCAGGGTTGAAAGTCCACCATTCTTGTATCATGCTCCTTTTGATTTTGTCGATATTCGGGAACAAAAAACAGTAAAAAACTAATTATTGAATAAATAATTAGTATTATTAATAAAATTAATCATAAAAAACAAATACTTAATTAAATTTTACGTACTGTATGCTTAGAATTACACTCAATCTGAAAAAAAAATCAAGGGCTTTGGGGGGTCCAGATCCCTAGGACACCCCCCTTGTGTGCGCCACTGATTTCAGTTTTTTGATAATTCTTCTTCTATTGACAATATAGCTAAGATAGATAACCTATCTTTTCATATGGAAGTCTTAAGGAAATTTCTCATAATATTTAGCATAGAAAAACTTCTTTCAGTTGTTGAATGAATGAATATTAAAGAAGCCTGTTCAGCTGCACGAGGGCTTTAAGCGATGGACCTCGTAATTTTGAACCATGGTCAAGTGACATGGACGACACCTGAGCTGGCACCCCCCTCTCCAAACTACCACATCCCACTAACGGGAGGACGTTTGAGCTCTCGACAGACTTAACGTGCATCGCTCCCCTACACGTCGGGTCTTTAGTGGTACTGAGCTCGAACACATGACATGTCCAGCCATGATCCGATTCCTTGACCCCTATGCTACCGCGGCCACTTTCAGCTGTTGAAATTGTGGTCAGAAGAGTAAAAAATGACAGGCATACTGTTATAACGTCTGGAAAACTGGAGGGAAAGCTATTGAAATTTATTAACAATAATTCTGCGAACTCCTTGATAGAATAAATTTTCTCAATTTCAGATTTTTAAACAGTTTTTTTAAAGCAATTAATTGTTTATAAATATTGTGTATATGCCCTCAACATATTCACTGATTTAGTTCTGCGGCTTACTTTTAATTCTTCGTTTGAAAAGGAAAAGGGTTTTTCCGGTTGTAAGATTTCGAAAATATTACTAAGATGATGGAGACTGAAATATTTGTGTGGGTTTGAGATATTAACACATCTAAACAGCATAATTAAAGGGCGAGAACCTTTATTGAATTTCGTCAGGTATAATAGGTCTATATAATAAAAATAAAGATTTCTACTCATGCATAATATACAAGAAACGGTGAATAGTTCAATATTATTTCAAATATTATTACTACATTTTCCTACAGAAAAGGAAGAAGAGAAACGAGAAAGTCGCACACACAAAGAATCATGTACCTTCCATAGTAAAAGATATGCATAATGACAATTCGAAATTTATTAAAAAGTAATTTACTTTAGTAAAATCAAATGTAACTGTTTGATGTTAAATCTATTTTAATCTAAAGGACATTTCTATTATCAAAAAGGATTTATTTTAAAACAAGAACAAGGTAACAGGCAAATACATTGTATATATATATATAAGAGCTTGAAGTTTTTGTAAAAATTAAAATGTCTCTTGTCCTGAAGGTCATTTCAAAAATGAATACTAAAACAACATATCAAAATTGAAAAATTGAAAATTTATTCATAAACTTTTTGTACAAAATGGGCCCCGTTTATGTAATTTTTTGTAAATTTTTACCCAATTTTTCCCATTTTAGTAATAATAATTTCTTCTTCTCTTCTTAGTTTTAGCATATTTTCTTAAAATGTACTAAATAAGACTAAAAACCACATAAAACCCCATATCTCCTTTTTAAAAAAATGTCGCACGTAATCGGACACATTAAACTATGCTATGCTATCAGAAAATAGGGACTTATTTTGATTTTTCAATATTTAAAATTCTCAGCATATTTATTCGACTTATAGTAAGTTTTATTTTCAGAAATTCATATGAAATTTTACTTGACTGATAGAACTATATGCGGCCTGCTGCCGCTCCTTGCTTTGGCCTCCCGCTTGCGGAATAAAAGCCCTCTTGTAGCTGAACAGTGCGACGTTATATTTACTCATTCACCCGCGTGTAAAGCACGCCTGCACACCTGCTAGGATGGGCCCTGCATATTTGAAGTAGACATTATGTTCACCCAGTGGTGCAGAAGTTTTAACTCAGAATAAGGTAAAAGGAGATGCATGGGGGGAAACATCTGCCTGATTCAACAATAGGAGTGTAAAGAGGATACCAAAATCCCTTGCGACAGGGGAGATTCAGAGCTTTTACCACCGCTATTGTGAGCGTGAGAAATGGGGAACTTTGCTGAAAAACTTATATAAAAAAGACTTCCTAATTTAAACACTTAAACCTATTGTAAAATTGAGAGATGAAGAGATTAAGGGTGTTACGGTCCATTCAGTGGCGTAGGTGTGGTGAGCTAAGAACAAGTAATATATAAAAAATAATTTAAGTCAATTCCTACATAGGTCAACAAAGAAAATTTTTATTTTAGTTACTTTTTATTAAATAATTACAATTAATATAAATTTGTATATACATATGACAGATTCGCAATATTAAGTGGCAAAATAGAAAGAGCTTTTCCTTACAATTTTCAATTTTCCTTTCTATATAGGGTGTTGAACTATTACATTTTGTTTGTTACTATTTATTTATGAAAGAGATTTAATTATTCCAATAAAATAGTACAGTAAAAAGAAATCACGTTCTCAGAAATTAGGTCATCTCAGGCGGAATTCCAAACCACGACTTTTCGATTAGAAGTCCAAAGCGCTATCCATTGCGCTACAAGGACATAACGAGTGATTTTCCTTTTTACATATGGTGTTGGACTATCTTTTTTTGTTTTGTTTGTTACTATTTATTAATTTTTTAATTTAATTAATGAATTAATATTTGAAAAAACTGTATTAACATCAAGTGTCATCCACTACAAGTTTTAAAAAAATGTATTTAATCTTGAGTAGATGAATAAAAAGTATTTTATTAACGACTGAAAATTTGAACAAGATATATATAGAGAGAGAGAGAGAGAACTATATAATAGTAGGAATTGAAAAAAAGAGGTCTATAATATTTATTATAACTTAATTATAAATACGGAATAAGCGCGTACCTACATAAATACGATAAAAAACTTACACTTTTAGACCGCGTTTAAAGCAAATCTCAAGATAATAAACATAATAATAATAGCCACAAATATAATAATACCAAATGACGCATTTATTACCAAACAATTTAAAATACATTATTAAATAAAACATTTTCATCTAAAGTTAGTTCTTGTAGTTATAGTCAGTAGAAGACTTATAGTTTGCATATTGTGTCAGCCAATCTTGAATATTTTAGTATGTAATTATTAACTGCTAATCTTCAGGTGGTCCCCCAAATGTCTTGGTGGTCCACCGGTCGATCGAGATCGACTTAATGACCACCCCTGCTTATAAGTGATATTCTTAGGTTGAGAGCTTTTACAATTAACACTTTATTTACCAACACGTAAATCATTTTATTAAAACCTGAATATGTCAGAAATCCCAAAAAGAAAATTGCATTTTCAGAGTACGATATATAACATATTCAAAACTGTTGAAGAAAACCAATTCAGAGTATGCCAATTAAGTGTCGAAGTTTGAGGCAACACGAGGGGGTGACTGGTGACGGATCTTGTAATTTTGAACCACTGTCAAGTGACGAGGATGACGCCTGAGCCTTTCATCCTTTTCCAAATTTCTACACTATGTCAACCAGAGGACTTCAAACCTTAACAGATTTAATGTGCATTATTCCTCAACAGATTTAATGTGCATTACACTGCGGGACTTCAGCGGCGAGAAAGTGATAGCCTATATAGAAAGAATAGCCTATATAGAAAGGAAAATCATTCGCTGTGTCCTTGTAGCGCAACGGATAGCGCGTTGGACTTCTAATCAAAGGTCGTGGGTTCGAATCCCACCTGGGATGGCGTAATTTCTGAGAATGCTGATTTCTTTCTTACTATACTATTTTATTAGAACAATGAAGTTTAATTAATGAATAACCAGTAACAAAAAAACCAAAACACTATATATATAAAGGAAAATGGAAAATTGCAAAGAAAATTGCTTCCTATTTTGTCACTTAATGTTTTTATTCTGTCATATGTATGTATATACATATTTATAATAATTGCAACTATTTAAAAAAATTGCGTAAAATATGGCATATAACACGCACATTTAAGGTAAAAAATAAGTTTGAAATGTACGGGTGCGTGTTATACGCAGGGTATAAAAACGAGAACTTTAAGAAGAAAGAAAAGATGGACATGGAAAAAAAATTAGACTTCTACAAATATCGAAATAGTGTTAATTTAAATGAAATGACACATTCTTTATGAACTTAAAGTTAAAGGGTTGTAGTTCTAGAAGAGTACACAAATTTTTCTAAAGCTTGAATAATACATCAATAAATAACATCAAAGCATATAGAGAGCCTTGCACAATATAATAAAATTTCTTCGTAAGAAAAGGGATGCGCTTTATACGGCGAATATAACTAAAAAGTAAAAATTGCAGCTTGAAAGTATAGGTGCGCGTAATAAGTAGAATTTTATGGAGATGGTGTATTTAACTTTGATGATTTTTTCTCAGAATAAAATCTCGGTGTTGGGATTTTCCTTTTCGCTTTTAGTTTTTGAATGTTCTATTTTTTAAAAATATGGATGCTTTTGAAAAGTATATGAAAAATTTAAATAAAGTACTTTATTTATTCTTCTGGATATATTTAACATTTATTTTATGATTGTTTATTTTATGATGTTATTTTATGATAGAATTTGTCCCAAGATAATACCTTACGAATTTTTAAACTGAATCTTTTTTCCTTTTTGTCTTTATATCTTGAAATCCCGTTAAGCATTCTCTTTGCCCTTTTCTCTGACCTTTCAATTTAAAAAGATTTTTCGATTGTTCACGAGTTGCAGTGAAGCCTAAGTGGAACCTGGTTTTCTGCTTCAATGAGCTCATGTCTGTAAATTACCAGAGGGGAAGGCATTTCCGTTTGATCAAGAATGCTTATTATTTTTTTTTAATGTGATGTGGGTGGAGATCGTTGGTTTTGGTTGGTGGATGGATAGGTTGATCCTTTGAATTTTTACAGCTGATGTTGTTTTCACGACGGAAGTTTGGCGGAGTTTTGCTGTTACATAAATTGTATTGAAGGAAAAAAAGATTAAAGTGGGAGGGGAACTACAGGAAAGGTGGGAAAAAGGACTAGCTTTTTGTTCAATGAGTTCTTGAAAACTTTTCCTTTTTTGACTGGTTTAACAGGAGCTTTGCAAGAGTTATCTATGCTACTGTTTTTCAGATTTAATTTTGGAAAAAAAGAATGCCGTACAGTCTTTTTGAAGAAATCTTTGGAAACGAGTTGATTTATTGTCTTACTTTTATTTTTTTCTGATAAAGGAGCCTAAGGTGTATTGGAAAGATTTGATCAAAGTAACTTTATCGATGATATGTTAAGAATCGCTTGCGAAATTTATGTACCGTAAAACACGGCGTATAACGCGCACTTTTAACACAAAAAATAAGATTGAAATTTACAGGTTATACATTGAGGAGAGATAAAAATGACAGCTTAAAAAAAAAGAGATGTGTATAAAAAAAATTTAGGCTTCTACATGTATCGAAATACAGTTTTTTTTTAATTGATATACCTGATGAACTTAAAAAGTTGCAGTTTTAGAAGCATGCTATTTTTTCAAAAACCTGAGATATTACTTTGAATAAACGACTTAAAAACAGAAGAGCATTGCTTATGTACATTTCAGGTTTCTTCATAAAAAAAGAGATGTGCGTTATACTGCGAATATACCTCAAAATTAAAAAATTCAGTTTGAAAGTAAAGGTGCTCGTTATACGGCGGCGCGCGTTATACACCGGATTTCATAGTAAATAAAATAAAATTTTCTTTGTTGACTTAAGTAGAATTGACTTAAATTTTTTTTATATTACTCGTTTACTTGTATAGCACACCCAAAAGACAAAATATGCATTCTTGGTCAGTAGGGCCTCGAACGCTGTTTTTCGTTCTAAAAAAAAAAAAAGGACCATAAGTGCCAAAAGTTGTCCGTTGTCACCCTTCCAGTCGCTAGCTAATTGCTCAGTGTAATTGCTACCCTATGGTGTGCCATTCTTTCCATGAGTAGTCATTCCCTGATAAGAGGTTTTAAAGTTTACGTCCTTTCAATCTGCGTATACCACTGATTACTTTGTGATTCTTTGCAAGATAAGCTGTTGGGCTGCGGTAGCCCAGTGGTCAAGGTATCGGATCATGGCAGGTATATATATATTAATTTTTCCTCAAATAAATTTAAAAATGAAAGAAACTTTAAAAATCTCATATTTAAAATTTTTTTAAAAAGAGTCGGCGGGCCGCGTGTTGGACACCCCGGTTCTAGTATATAGGTTTCCATACTTTTTTGTCTCATAGACCGCTTGCCATATTTTTGGTTTGGGGTAGACTTCTACTTACCTAATATTGAATTTTTTCAAACCCTAATATCTTCTCGGTTAATACTGTCTAGTCTACACTTCTTTCTTTTTTGTTTTGTTTTGGAGATGGGCAAGCGCACTGATCTCAAGATATTTCATAATATGTAATAAATTACAGATATATCTCTTTAAAAAGGCAAAATTGTTGACATCCGTTTCTGAACTTTACTTTAAGGTCTTCGCTAGTGCCTATTCCTATAGTGCATAATTTTTGTAATCCGACATTTTTTTTCCGAAGTGACCATATGAATTCATTGCCTATTGTGGTATTATGATAGTCGAAACATTCTCAAACCTGGTTTTAAAATCTAAAAAAAAGTGCATTTAAATTTTGTACGCAAGTTCAAACGTTTTTTTTCTAGTTGATTGTCTGTGACAATTGAAAAACTGGGAAAATTATACTCCTTTAGTGTAATTCTGGCAAGAAAGGCTGAAATACGGTGCTTGTTTTAATAAAATTTCTGCTATCGCCTTTTGTAACTGCAAAAAAATTAGCTTCATTAAATTTAGTAGATAAATTTGTTAAATATGTAAGTCTGGTTTCCACTTCATTAAATTTCCTTTTAAAGTTAAAGTCACGATCTGGTTTAATGAGAGCCACCATCGTAGGCCCCCAATTTTCGCTGATGTAGACCCCTTGTAAGTCGTTATAGACCCCTGGGGATTTATATAGACCCCTTTGAGAATCACTGTTCTAGTGGATGGAAAATAATAAACTTGGCATTTTTATAAAGCTAATAAAATGGCCTATAAAATAAAGTCATAAGAAAACTTGTGTCAATTTTTGCAAAATTCACTATTTTTTGGGGAGTTGGATAATTTAAGAAAAATAGAGAGAATGATGAACAGTGTATTGTTCCATTATCCATTAATGTCTACTTTTTACACACATCCTTCATTTGATAGCAAAATTCGTGCAGAACCAGCAATACCGCAATATACACTGGTGTGCAAAACTTAAGCAACAGGTGGGTTTATTGCCATAACTTCACGAAAAATCATCTGAGAGACATGAAATGAAGGAATACAGGATGGCGCCCTAGCCAGTGCCGGTTTAAGCCCATTTCGGGCCCTGGGCGCAGAAGATCTACGGTCCCCTAGGCACTGGAGGATCGAAATTTATAAACAGGAAATCTGGTTAAGTCCAGCTTATATATCCGGGTCTTTCTGGACCCCTCCAGGCCCTGGGCCCCTGGGTGCATGCCCCAAGCACCCATCTGATAAACCGGCAATGCATCCTAAGCACTATAGATCGCAT